TTTTGTTTTTTTTTTTTTTTTGAGCAGAGAAAGGTTTATTGCAGGGCCAAGCAAGGAGAATGGGTGGCTCTTGCTCAGAAACCCTGAACTCCTGTATGTTCTTAATTTCAACTTAGAATTGCAAATCTAGGGACTGTCTGGTGTGACATTCTGTACTAGTGTGTGGTTAAACCCTGTTGGGGAGACCAACCCAACATCTGCAGAGGATGCACAGGCGACTGTGTGCTGCCAGTATCCAGTCTCACCTCCATAGCTGGCTTAGCCCAGGGGGAAGCTTCAGTGCTCAAGGTCACATCAGTGATGTTTAGATTGCATACATTCTAAATTCTGTAACACCCTTATCCTGTGTTTTACTTTTCTTCTTACAAGTTACGGTAATTGGATCTTTTTCAAATTTCTTTTAATGCTGTTACTCAGGGTTTGTGATAGTAGACTCTAGAGCAGACAGGAAGCTGACCATAACATGTTTAGGGTTTAATCTAAGCATGATACAGTGGGAAGGACTGTATCATGGAAGGAGTTTTGGAATCAGACCGACCATCTCTACTACCACTGGCTGTGTGACCTTGAGCAAATTACTAAACTTCTTGAACTTCAGTTTGTCAGCTCTAAAATGGATTGACTGAGTCAGCTAGCATCCAACCCATTTCAGAGATGATAGTGTTACATTTCCCATCTGTTAGTAGCATCAGTAACCCAGCACTGGCTTGTTTTCATTTTAGGACCATTGTAGCACTGGTGTACAATGTGCTGAAAACCCTCATGGAGATGAACGGCAAGCTTTTCGATGATCTTACTAGTTCATACAAAGCTGAAAGACAAAGGTATTTGACATTTTCATTTATAGACTTATCTGTACATTTTAGATTAGTTGAATGTGATTGAGTCCAATAAGGTATTCTAAGTTAAAATTATGTTTAAGAAGCCAATTGCTGCAGTAGGATGAATTGAGAGATTGGGATTGACATATATACACTAACACGTATAAAATAGATAATTAATAAGAACCTGCTGTATAAAATAAAATTCAAAAAAGAAAAAAGCCATTTACATTTAGCATTTCAATTTGAATGTCTCTAATAAGTACTTTAAAGTCATTTCCAGGTAAACTCCTAATGGTTAGATTATGATTTTAATGTGGATCATAAATTCTGTTTATCTCATTCTGAGCCTTAGACTTTATCAGTATGATAACATCTGCATTGTGAAATACAATTTATGCTGGATTTTAAATACTATTTTACATAATTATTTTCACATTTAGGAGAATTGCTTTTGTCCACATGGGCGTCCATAGTGAGCTTATTCTTCATCTGTTCCCTGCACAATAACTTGATAGTTTTTAAGCTTCACATTTTAACAAACTGGTATTTTAAAGTCAGTATAGTTCCCTTTGGGGAAGGGGAGACTCATATAAGGATATTTCTGTGGCTGAGTACTATTACTGATACTTTGTTCCTTGCAATATATATTTTAGTGAATAAATGGTCACACACATTAGCATTTAGGAACTTGGCTTAGTGATTACCTCTTTTTGAAAATTTCATAAATTACTACAAAATAATCTAAAAATCACTTCCTTCTCATATATTTATTTCAGTTTCAATAACTGCTGTACCTGAGCCTATTTATTTCTAATAAGTGTATTGACTCTTCTGTTTGGAAAAGCTGATCTATTTTGACTGTAAGTTCCTAGTCCTGGTTTTCTGGTGGCAAGTAGAGAAAGGATCTCTCTTCTTCAAGGCCATCCTAGTCCATCAGTAACTAACTCAATGCATTATTTCTTTTAAATAGCACCTTTCAGGCAGGAATAGAAATTAGGTACATAGTTTGAGTCCCAGGAAGCAATGTGAAGAAGGAAAAATGACTAGGATCATATGAAACTTATATTTGAAAAATGCGTATTTCACATAACTAAGAGCGATCATTATATCTTACTGGCTGCGTAAATCAGCACTTTTGTCCCCTTAAAACATATGTAACTGCAGAACGGTAAGCCCATGGTTTTTTCACATGTTCATATAGCCCTTCAGAATAGTTTGGTCCAAGTTATTCAGAAATGTTCTCTTTAGAACTGAAATTAAGTAGTTGAAGCAGCATATTTTGAGTTTTGCTTTTTTAGAGAGGTTATTCAAACTTTAAAGTCTCCTTCTGACATGCAGGAGACAAGACATAGTAAGACACAGACTGGTTGGCAGCTAGCGACGTGGAGCCAAAAGGATATGGCTTCCACCTGGAAACGGCTCCAGGCTGACTCGTGGCCAGCCCTTCAGTCTGTCGGCAAGACCCCACTGCAAGGGGTTTACTGCAGGGGGTGACTAAGTACTTTGCCAACCATAAAGCACAGATGCCACAGTCGTGGTGGTGGTGGTGGTGATAAAATGCAGGGAGGGAAGGCGAACGTTAGCTTTCAGTCAGTACAGGAGCCACACGGATGTGGTATTACTCTCAGGAGATGAAGATGAGTAACGCGGTGCTCTAGGTAATATACAGTCTCAAATGCTTTAGTAGAGGGATTTAAGTGAAATGTGAGTGAACAGTCTGTTCTCCAGCCAACTGCCAAACAGCATGTTTCTTCAAGCTCTGAAATAAAAGTTTCTAACTGCAAAAGTCTTGATTTACAGGGAGAAAAAGAAGGAATTGGAACGTGAAGAATTATGGAAAAAATTGGAGGAGCTAAAGCTGAAGAAAGCTCTAGAAAAGCAGAACAGTGCTTACAACATGCACAGTATTCTCAGCAATACAACTGATGAATGAAAAAAGCCTTCCACCTCCGTTGGATAGGTGGTTTTGTACACTTTTCTGAAATATGTAAAAATTATGAAACCTCATCAGTATAATTAAAAGGCCAATTTTTTTTCTGGCAACTGTAAATGAAAAAAAATATATGGACTCAACATAGCTCTGTGCTATATCATGGCCATAGTATATTGTAACCTTTGTCTAATCATTGATTTGTGTCCCTCTTCTGAAGTTTCACAGAAATGAATGAGCTTTATCATCTGTGATATGAGTGAAATCATTACGGGAGTGGTAAGAATCATGACTTGAATTCTGTCTGGGTTGTGTTGCACATAGATACAGTAGAGTCTGCTCTGTGTATTTTTCCCTTTGATAACGTGCTTTCACATTGCTGCAGACCTTAGTTACATCCCAGGACAAAGACTTTCCTAAAGTAAAACTAAGGTGTAATTCTTATCCTTCCCTTCATCTCTCCCAGAAATATGACGGAGGGAATTACTTGCCCCTAAGCCTTCCTTCACAGAGAGATATTACTGTACTCTGGAATTTGAGCAAAACCTTAAATTTCCAGGCTTTCTAAAGCACAAATTATAAATAAAAGCTGGGAACGTAAACCAAATTCTTCAGATCGATCCTTATGGACATCCCCCTTCATCTGCAGCTCCCCAGAGCGCTGAGCACAGATTAGTGGGGGCAGTGCCGTGAACACAGCCTGCCTCTCAGTTCATTCCTCCTCTTCCTCCCAAAGGCTGAAGGCAGGGCCTTTCCAGTCCTCACAACCTGCCCTTCTCCAGTACCTCCTGATGCAGGGATGGAGGCTTTGAGTCCCACGGTGTGGTGATGCAGAGCGCTCATTGTCACTGCCTGGCTTTGTGTAAAGGAAATGCAGTAGGCTTCCTCTGTAGGGTTCTGAAAAAGCTGACTATAGAGAAGTCGTATATGTTTCTACTTGGTCAAGTATTTTCTCACATTTTGTTATCAGAGTACCATTCCAATCTCTTAACTTGCAGTTGTGTGGAAAACTGTTTTGTAATGGAAGATCTTTATTGGGGGATTGAGCAGCATTTAATAAATCTATGTTTGTATTTTGCCTTACGTCGACTTTGCTTTTTTTCAGCACTAAGGTTAGGTGCTCAGAAGAAGCCTGCCCCCCTTCATTCATACATATATACGTACGTACGTACGTACATACATACGTGTATATAGAGAAAATTTTAAGGCAAATTGCAGGTTGTACACCAGTTAAAGACGAGGAAGACTGTGTGCCAGAGTCGAGTGTTCTAGCCATTTACCAAAGTATATCTGTTGTATAGAATTTTCACATAAAATTCTAAGTTCTAGGATATCCTTCCATCTTCCTTCATGTCCCTTTATGTTTGGAGGATGGGTTTAACTTACCTTAAATGTGTGTACATATGTACATAGTTTTAATGGAAATAGACCCATGGGATTTCCCTGGTGGTCCAGTGGTTAGGACTCCATGCTTTCACTGCCAAGGGCCCGGGTTCGATCCCTGGTCAGGGAACTAAGATCCACATGCTGCGGCCAAAATAAAATAATAAAATGAAATAGACCTAGGAGGATAAATCTCAAAATCTATAATAAGTAATAACAGCAGTGTTTTTTATGGGGGCAGGGAGATCGTTACAAAGTTTTCAACTACTGGTGTCTGCTTCTACTCTTTCACATCCACGAAAAACAACTCTAGCACACTATTCCTAGGTCACCGTGAAAGCACCTCGTTCTGCTCGCCGTGAGACCAGGAGAAACTCCTCTTCCTTTCGGGACGTTGCTCCTATCTTACGATGCTCTCAAATGGCCGGCACCTCAGCCGTCCAGGCCCAGTGCTCTTGCCAGATGCTGTACACTCACCTAAGGCCGGCCGGGATCACTGACAACGGGGGGGCAGCACACGGAGAAGGAAAGGGTGACCCTGCTACAGAACACAGCAAAAGGCAAGCCCCAGCCTCCCCAGAAGAGACGGTTGGGTCTAAATGTCTATTTTGTGGACGGTCTAGGCATACATTCAGAGTAGATTCTGGCAGGCTGCAGCTAACAGCTGTTGTGGAAGAGAGAGCTAGAAATGCCCACTTCCTAATTAATTAGCTGCTTACTTGAAAGCACGTTCAAGAGGTCTCTCAACTTTCTACAGTACAGGAAGTACAGTTTTAATATGTTCATTGGAGCAAATTTTGTTAGCTATTTAATATTAAAGTGGTGTGTCATCTTTAGAGAGAATTTAAAAATACACATACCTGTTTTTCAGTGCTGTTAACGTAAGCTTTAATGCCTGGCTTTGCATTTGCCTTACAATAAGATTTTATAGAGACAGGACCTAGGCTAAAGTTTGTACCTGCTTCTGTGCCATAGAAAAATAGGGAATATTTCCTTACACAAGTTCACTTTTAATAATTCAACCAAAAACCACAGTTTCTTGCTGCTAACTAGATATGAGATTAAAATTGCCCCACTCATACACTTGAGTTGTTCTCTTTGAATTATCTAAAACCGGGTTACAAAATTGAAGAAATGCTGCCAAGTCCTCTTTGGAGGCAAAGGGCATGTAAATAATTTAAAACTCTGGAAATAATCTTAATAACCTTAAATCAGCCAATGGCTACCATGTGAAAAATACCCAGAGGTTACTCATCTCTGTCACAGGCTGGGCTGAAAGCTCTGAGGGTCATCCTGAGGGCCCCTTTATCAGATGGGTGGGGGGTTTGTAGGACAGGAAGAGCTAACACAGCTTATTCATGGGGCTTTCCTGTCACTTCCTGACCACCTGCCATCTATCGCCTGCCCACCTTGCCCTTCCCTGGACGTGGTCATGATGTACCTCGGGAGTCCAGACCCGTCCATCGTGGAAGTCCAGGCTCACGCTCCCTTTTATTTGGAGGTCACGGAATGAAAGCGTACTGGTGCCTATTGATTTAGCAGATATGCATACTGGCACACTGATTCCTTTTGTATTAACCTAACTTTTATTCACCTATTAATGAAATCATCAAAATACACTGAGTAGGCACCTACTATGTACACATGTCCTAGTGTTTTTGTATGTTAATCAGTCCGAACTCACACCTGCATCAACCAACATTCTAGCCAGACAGGTAGGTGGCTATTCAGTCCACAAGAGATCTAATTACTAGTTTTTCTAGTAGCTTTAAAAAAAAGTCTCATTTAATATTAAACAAGAGAGCGTGTCAGGGGCTGGCAGATGGCACCAGAGACGTGAGGGGTTTTGCGTTCCTCACACACGGTACACCGGTTCCACAGCATGACCTCCACACCCAAAGAAGTCACTGGTGGGGGAGAAGAAAATCACACTCCTGTCCATTTAAAAAAATCTCAAGAAAAAAACCTAAGGTCAGAGCCTTAATCATCCTGTTAGACCTTAACTATACACCAAACCGAGAAGGAAGGCAGCTTCCAAAAACCTTCAGGAAACTGGATTATATCTAATTCCATCCTCCACACACCCTATTCATGTCATATGTCAAAAAATGTTCATTAATAATTTAAATACTTAAATAACAGTTAAGGTCATCCACTGGATCTGTTCCATTGGGCTCTAGACAGTCTCTCTGAGGACCAGTTAGAAGCTGCAGTGTGACAGGCAGGCCCCCAGCAAGGCTCGTTTCTTCAAGTGAGGACAGGATTGCTGGCAGCTAGGTTTACCAAAGCAGAAGTGATGAGAACTTCCATGAACTCGGGCAGTCCTTCAAACAACGCAAGCGACTTCAGCTTATGTGGTTCATTACCTGACCTCTTTTTTTAAGGTACCTCTTCCTAATTTTGATCATCCACTTCACACTCAGTTTGGCAAATTCTGCAGCTTTAAATAATGCCAAGAAGGCCCCACAGAGAAGAGCGATTGTGTTCCAAGGATTGGCGGTGATTATCTGCAAAACAGAAACAAACACATGTTTCTCTGTTGGCTTCCATTTTTGATTTTCAGTGTTATTGTCAAAGAGCCCCTCCAATTATTGAGGCAACAAGAAAAACAACTGGTTTCTAAAACTGCCATAACTCCATACTTTGTCCATAGCTCAGTTTGAGGAGAAAACTACTAATCCCTCCCTATAATAAATTGATCCTGAAAGAAAAAACATTTTTTTCAAAAAGCTCTGCACAAACAAGGTACTCAGTCCTGAGCTTTAAATTTCTGGCTTAACCCACAATGTGACTGACCCTGCTTTGAGACAGACCTCCTCCCAACTATACACCCCATCTGTACAGTCAGTTCCTGTTTGCTTCCCATCTCACAGTGACTCTCACCTCCCCTCCCATCCAGTCCAGCGACTGCCTGTCCTCCACTCACCTCATGGACTCCTGCCTGCAGATGGGCCCCTCCAATTTGCCCTGCCCGGGACGCTTTCCTCCCACCTTGAGTTACTAATCCTTCCAGGCCCCTCGCAGCTTCCTCTGACCACTAAGCCAAAACCCTCTCGACTTGAGCAGAGAGATTTATCCCACAAACCCCTCTGGCGGGTCCTTACTGTCTGGAATTACGTCCTTTACAGCCCAGATTGTTTTCTCACTGACTGTGCAACTCCTTCAGGCCGAGGTCATGGCTTGTCTGAGTACCCCGCTTGATAAACACACAGCACTTCTTTAAGACCCAGTTCAGCAGGGCGACCTCAGGCTCACTTACGAAAGTTACACCACCACCACCGACCACCACCACCATTTAGGACAGTTGTGGAGCTGAGGGACGACGCAAGTCAGTCGGCCTCGAGCTCGGGGCTTTACTTGGTCCATAATAGGACTTCATACTGAACACAGTAGGTTAAAAAACGTTGGATCACACATTTCACGTGTGGAGCTGAAGGCGCTCATTCTTCCACGTGGAGTCTTAATTCAGGGAGTCTGCACATGCCTACGTGTACACAGCCCAGCCAGGCCACGACTAACAGCGGTGATGGGATCATGGGGCACATCCACATCACAGAGACCCTGCCTGTTTGAGCCTCAGGTTTGAAATGTCTTCCCCCAACCCACGAGCACATCAGGACATACTGTGATGATCTACACAACAAACAGTATCAGATCTGGGACTGGCTCTGGTAAGTGGCGTCTCATGAATGTTCTTTTGGCAAAGCCGTCCCATCACCCCTCCCCTTCTGAGACGGTGAGTCTGGGACCTGGCATCAACTGATGCTCTCTTAAGTTCTGATTAGTACCTTTCTGCTCTGATTTACGACAAATAAAAAATGACTCTCATCCTACAGAGAACCAATAAAGGAGAACGGCTTCCAACAGCAGTAATCTAGATTATTAGCTTAATGCTTTCTACTTAGTTCATTCACTATCACTACCCAGTGGCTACGCTGGACTAAGCACCACGCTGGACACCAGATAAACGGTGAACAAAGACGAAGCCCTCACATTCACAGCGACGAGTCCAGGGTTAAAGATGAGATCAATTAAACACAAATGATACAGAAAATGAATGTCATAAATACAAAAGACACAGAAATCTGCGCTGTGACAGAAGATGAGGACGGCCTGCAAGGATGCACCAACATGCCTTGGGGTGGGAAGTCCCCTCTCAAGATCGGAGATGATACTCACATCTTGGACTTTCTGGATGAAAGGATCTTTCCACTCAAAGACCACAAAAAACAACTGAGCACTTTTTTCGGCCGCTGGCCTCTGGTCAATGTAGTTAACCACGCTGGTCTAGGTAGAGAGGAGAGAAAACAGTGTTACACCGCTTCTGCGTCCCTTCCTGGCCAGGGCCACAGGGAAGGAGAGGGCAGTTAGCGGAGCTGAGACCTCGGCTCTCCTCGCACCATCTTTTGGAGGGAGAGAGCCAAAACCCTCCTCTACACGATATCCCGAGACTGGTCCCAGAGCCAAGGCTTTACGCTGGTTTCCATCATTCTTTGAGGAAACGGACAGGATCTGGGGTGCACAATAGGTGTTTTGGATTGTCACTGAAATCTGTTGCTAGGTATCTGTACCTGATTAAACCATTTTCAAAGTACTGTGTAAGACTCACAACTAAAAGCCATAAAAATTCCAAATGTCAAAATACTTGACCTGAAGAGCTGGGTATTTCAACCCTTCCAGTCTGCAGGGACCAAGTACAGCCTCGCAGTTCTGCCCAGCTGAGCACTCCCTGGAAACACACGGTGAGCAGGCGTGCTTGGTGAGGCCTGCTTACAGCTTCTACAGGGGATGTGAGGTGAAATGGAGAGCAGACGGGTTCCAGAGTCTGGCTGGGCCATCCTCTGGTCTGAGCCTCTGCTTTGCTCTCATAAAATGGGGGGACAAAATGCCATTTGGGGGACATTTTTTGTCTACTGAGTTGTAGAGAGGCTCTCATGAAACAACACACAGGAAAAGCATTTTAAACTTTAAAACATGATAGAAAAACATTATAAATTTTTTTAAAAATTTTTTTTCAAAAGAGTTCACATCCCCCACCAAAGACTTCCAATGCAGATGATGCTGAGAGGCACACAAACATTCTACAGTGCACAGGCTCACAGGGGTCTGGCCCGCCGGTTTCAGATCACAGCTAGAGCTACCAGGAGAGCCAGGGTAGCCTGGGGAGACCTAACTGTAAGGTGAACACACTGAGTCTCCCTTTCTCCGCTGATTTGGGGGCCAGATGAGAAAGAACTTGGAGTTCTTGGAGAAAAGTGTGGCGTAAAAGTCCGGGAGATGACAGTTATCTTACAAAATACGAATAAGGACCTACTGCCAGAGGGTCGTTGCCCAAGGCAGGAAAAAAGCCCTGTCCCTCTGAAGAAAAATGGCTTCAAGCTGTTCCCAAAGGCCTCCAATCTGGAATCGTCCTAGGAGCGCGGCGTGGGGAGGGGCAGACCCGGACGAGAGCCCGGCTTCCATCCACCCTGTCGGTTGGAGTGGGTCCCTCTCCAAGCCAGCCCTTTCCTAAAGCTGCCCCTCGGAGTCCAGCCCAAATGGAAAACCTCCAAGGAGGAGGAGGGGATGCGAGAACAGAGCCGTCTCCTCGCTGCCTCTGCAGGCACCCAGCCACCGACACGCGGGATGGCCGGGCCCTGGGCAGGAATGCTGGCAAGATGGCAGCACCCCTGCAGAGGTGGAAGCCCCACAGGCAGGGGTGCGGCCCTGCTTTGGGTGGTGACTGCCTACCAGCCCTGCTGAGGCAACCAAAATGTCCCGTCCCTCCATCCCTCCACCCCCGGTGCCACGCTGTCTTCCAACATCCTCTCCAGCTGCCCCCAGGATCACGGCCTATCTCCTGGCCCCAGGTCAGGGGGCTGAAAGCTTTTTGATCAGGCTTCCCATTAGTAAAGAATTCTGAGCACGTGCCAACATATTTATAACTTTCTTAGAAAGGACATAACATCACTATTATCGTTCTAATGTTACATGCATTTTAAACATTCAAAAATAGAGAAAGGATGAGGTTTTAAAAATTAATACAAAAAAGAGGGGCTTCCCTGGTGGCGCAGTGGTTAAGAATCCGCCTGCCAACTCAGGGGACACAGGTTCGAGCCCTGGTCCAGGATGATCCCACATGCCACAAAGCAACTAAGCCCGTGCGCCACAACTACTGAGCCCGTGCTCTAGAGCCCTCCAGCCACAACTACTGAAGCCTGCATGCCTCAACTACTGAAGCCTGCGCGCCTAGAGCCCGTGCTCCGCAACAAGAGAAGCCACCGCAATGAGAAGCCCGCGCACCACAACGAAGAGTAGCCCCCGCTCGCAACAACTAGAGAAAACCTGCACCCAGCAACGAAGACCCGATGCAGCCAAAAATAATTAATTTTAAAAAATTAATACAAAAAGAAAGCTAGTATTTTCCTCCTGTGTCCCAATGGATCACCACGCACCCCACACTCCAGAGGCTACCATACCCAGTCTCTGCCCTGCCAATAGTCAACTTTTTTATGCAGCCGCCAGCGTCTCAGAGCGCGGCGGGGGAGTAGCGCAGAATAAAAACAGGCATCAGATTGAGCCGCATGAGGCGCCACTCTGTAAAACACTCCGCCGTGTGCACTGTGAGGGCTGCAGCGACAAAGGGAAAGGGCCTGGGGTGTGCCCTGCCTGCAGAAGAACATGCAGACTCCCGGGCACCGGCTCCACTCTCATCCTGGCGAAGGCCTCCTCACCCCAAAGACCCTGTGCACCGGTCACCCGCTCTGCGAAGCTTCCCTCCACCCTGCACTCAAGGGTGGAGTCAGTGGCCATGCGAAGCGAGCCCAGCGCCACCTACCTCCTGCCGGAACTCCACCGCCTCCCGCCCGTCCTCCTCCTCAGTCTTCACCAGGGACATCTTGACCCAGGTGCGGAAGCCGCCCGAGAACTTCCAGCCGGAATAGGCGCTCTCGCAGGCCTGCATGAAGCCTACCCTGTCTGGGCTTGGAGGGCAGAGAAGAAAGGTCCACGTTAATCAGGCAGGATTCGAACGTGGCCAGGCTCAAACTCCAGCCCCTACGTCAAGCTGGTTTCTCTGCTGGTACCACCAGGATGCTCCCACTGCCCACTGCCCCCTTCCTCAAAGGCCGGCTTTTTGGCTTCCAGATGGAGGGGGAGCTGTCAGCTGCCTCAAGGCACGAGCACGGTCGCTGAGACTCCCGGCAGGAGAAGCCCTCCCCACTCCCACCCACCCACCCCCAGCATCTGCTCCCGGAGCAGCCGGCACCGCGTTCTGCAGACGCGCCCCCAGCGCCTCAGAGAAATCTGGGTTTCAGCAGCCCTGGGGTGCCCTCATTGGCCCTCAGCCTCCCTGAAGCCCCAGAGAAGGGAAGAGGCTTCCCCAGGAAGCTCTCAGCCAGGCAGGACACCACAACACCCACTCAGGATGGTGCAGACGTGGCAGGATCATAACGCGCACAGGCAGGTGGCAACCGCATGGCGGTACTGAGGACCCACACAAGGGGAGCAGAAAGGGGCTGGGCAGGCAGGGGACACGGCCAGCTTCAAGCAGGAAGGGAGAGGGAACTCTAGGTGGCAGAAGGTGCCGAGGAGGAGGCCCCGGGCTCCAATCTGGGCAGGATTGGGGCGCTGGGGTGTGAACGGCGGTGGCAGCTCACGGCCTCGTCAGCTGGCGGAGTGGCCTCCTCTCTGCCCTAGCTGCCGCCCGGCTTCCTTGAAATGGAGCCCCAGGGCCACGCAGGACCTGGAGGGACTGAGTCACCCCCGCTCAGGCCTGTGCCGAAAGCGCTCCCACGGCCCACGACACGAGCACTCTGGGCCCCCGAGGTGGCACCACCCACGAACAGGACATTTCATCCTCCTGTTAGAAACGCGTGGCAAACAGGCACTGAGCCCTCACGCAGGGCTGGACCCAGTTCCAGGACACCGTGGGGAGCCAGGCCCAGGGCAGGAGCTGCCCTCCAGGGGGCTCACAAAACCCCGTCCTCGGCAGCCCCAGCCAGGAGCGGTGGGCCCCACCAACCTCCCTCCAGGACTCAACCAGCGCTGCGTTTCGTAACCCCCTACACCGGGCTCGCCTGACCTCGTGGAGAGGCCCTCCTCCAGGCCAGTGGCTCATCCACAGCCCTGCTTCCCTGCACCCTCTGCCCCAGCCTAGGGATGAGCACGGCCGGAATGAGAGAAGGAGTGTCGAGCAAGCCCGCCCTGAGCTCTAAAGGCCACCTTTGCAGGAACTCCTGGAAAGAAGAGAAGAGGAGGTAATCGATGGCGCTGAAGTCCTCGCTGCTCTGGTTCAGGCGGAACTGGAGGAAGACCAGCTCCCGCTTCTTCACCTCCCGGGGTCCCTGCACAATCAGGGCGGATTTCTGCGGAGACAAAGGCCAGAGTCTCAGCCGGGAGAGCCGCGTGGGTGGTCCTGACCTCGCCTTGGGCACACAGGGCTCCTCACCCCACCCCACGTCCAGGAACAGCGTCTGGACCAGGCCTGACGGCAACCTGTCCTCCCGCCACGAGCCTCACTGGCTGGCAGTGCTGGGGAAGCTCTTTATTTAGAAAGGGTACTAACTTCCATCTGGTATAGGTACAACTGTTTTTTTCCAGTTCGTCACTTTCCCATTAACTCTGCTCTAATGCCATTTGTTATATGAAGCTCTAAAGGTGATGTAGTGAAATCTGTCAATCTTCTTCACAGCTTCTAGATTTTGCTTGCTAAGGGAAACCAAAATTATATCAATATTCTCCTGTATTTCTTCATAGCACTTTTTTAAAAAACTTTACATTTAGATACACATATGCCTGCCTTTCAGTTTTGTCTATGGTATGAAATAGGGATCTCACTCTCACTACCCAAACAGTGGGCAGACGCAGGTTTGACCCCTGAATGTTTACTCATTCTGGTATCTGACTGGGCAGGTCCCCTCCACATCACTCCCCACCCCATCCCCAAAACCTGGCAGGGTTATTCCATATACATGCTCTATTTTTTAAAATAAATTTATTTTTATTTTTGGCTGCGTTGGGTCTTTGTGCTGCGCACGGGCTTTCTCTAGTTGCAGCGAGCAGGGGCTACCCTTCATTGTGGTGCGCAGGCTTCTCACTGCAGTGGCTTCTCTTGTTGCAGAGCATGGGCTCCAGGCGTGCAGGCTTCAGCAGTTGTGGCTCGCGGCTCTAGAGCGCAGGCTCAGTAGTTGTGGCTCACGGGCTTAGTTGCTCCGCATCATGTGGGATCTTCCTGGACCAGGGCTCGAACCCATGCCCCTGCGTTGGCAGGCAGATTCTTGACCACTGCGCCACCAGGGAAGTCCCCACATGCTCTTCTAAATGTACTTTAAAACCAGCTTGTTAAGTTCCATGAAAAAATTCAACTGGGACTTTTAACTGTGATGACACTGGATTTACAGATTAACTGGGGAGAAACATCTTTACATCTACTTTTATAAATACTCTACCGAGATTTGAAAAGAGTATTCTGACAGGTACAATGTTACAACATGCACTTACTCTAAGTTTATTAATTGTGCCAATTCAATTCTCACTTCTTATCCTTACTACTTTCTGTCTGTTTGAACTGTGAATTTGAGAGAGGTGTTAGTAACACTCTAAGGTGATAGTACTTTTTATTTCTAACAGGTTTTGCCTGAGGAATACAAAGGGTATGCTGTTTTGCTGTTTTGCACATAAAAATTTATGGCTGTTAAGTCTTAGTGGGGAGAAGTGGAGTTTGAACCTCTTGTCCACATAAACAGCCCTCTTTTAATCATTTGCATCTGGAATTCCATTTTAACTGACAGTAAAACTGCCACTCCACTTCTTCTGCAGCTGTCTTCTGCATTTTCCCAAGAGATCTCTGCCCATCTGTTTATTTTCAACCTTTCCATGACAGGTTAAGGGGCAGCAGAGAATGCTAACTGTCCCCAGTTTCCATTATCCACTTCCTCCTGCAGAACCAGTGCTGCTTCCCCAGTTGCAGATTTTAGCAGGATATAGTCGCCCACTGGAGGTGCATTTCTGGCCTCAGATGTGGCCATGGGACGAAGTTCCTGGAATGAGCACGAAAGTGACTCACACAATCCCACGCCAGGCCCTTAGCGGGGAACTGCCCGCCCTCCACTGCTCACCTTCCCGAGATGGGGCAGTGCACACGCACGTGCTGGTGGGTCAGCACTGACCCCGAGGACCGAGACGGCGCCCGGGGATGGCAGAGCGACAGACAGAAGCCCTCACTGGCCATCCTGCGAGGCAGCACTGCCCGCACACACAGACGTCCCCCAAGAAGGAAACAGCCCTCTCTTATCTCAGCCGCTGTGTTTGTCTGGAGTGTTTGCTTTTGTACAGGAGCTTAGCCTGTACTCTGACCAACCTAAGTTGTTTTCCAGAACTGGAGTGCTGAGGGAACAACCGCCTGAAGATAAGGCATCACCTTCACATTTGGACACCGGGAATATGGCAGGCGGTGAGGAAACAGACATGGGTCCTACAGGCTGGAAAGGTGGTGACCCTAACTGCGCCAGAGCAAGGCATGTGGTAAAAACTAACGAGATTTAATTGAGGGTACAAGAGGTAGAGACTAGAAAATAAATGAGAATCTGAAGATTGATGAAGCAGGACCAGATGAGCCCCTTGGCTGGGATGCTTTCACGTGGACTCAACAGGATGTAAACAGCCACGTTTCTGCAGACATCTCACTGCAAACAAAGGGGCTGCAGGCAGCAGAAGGATAAGGACTGTTCAGCCTCCCAACCTATACAGCCCAAAGCCGCGGGGCCCAGGGAGGGCCTGTTTTCTAGTGTCCACTCCAGAGGATGGGCCCAGAGGATCACAGCCAAGGCAGGCTCTCCCAGTGGACAAGGCCAGGGCAATCCAGGACGTAGGAGTCTCTGCCGAGGTGCAGGCCCTGCCACCCGCCTCTGCCTTCCTCCCGGGGGCCGAGGCAGGACGCCTCACAGGTCCCACCCAAGGGGCTCCATCAGGCTTCGGGGGCGGCTATGCTTCCCGCTCTTCCCTTTCCCTCAGTAGCTCCACTGAGCCCCTCTGCTCCTCCTTCGCGGCTCTGCACTGTGTAGGGAGGGGACCTGGTACCCAGGGAGCGGGTTAGCTCTCTCTAGTTTGCGGCTGTGAATGGCAAGGAGCCCCAGTGGTGAAGACTGCCCATCACCCAGGGCTGGAGACAGGTAACTTCAGTCAACTTAAGTTTGCATGGAAATGACTCCCATTTTGTGCCCTTACTTTATGGTTTTCTATAATACTTAAACTATGTAACTATTATAACAGATAACACTGGCATGAACAGGTTTGGGACACAGGGCTCCTAGTTAGCGTACTACTCAATGGGGAGCCGAGAGGAAAGACGGCCAGAGAGCCTGTACCTGCAGTGCCACCTAAGCACGCACGGGCATCCAGTCGGTACGCAGGGAACGGAGAGAGCGGGGAATCCAGACCGACAGCGTTTGTACTGTATTATCTAGCTCTTCATTAAAATTTTTAAAAGTTCTTTTCCTTTTCATTTAAATTAGCTTCCGCTTCCCTGGAGTCCTTTCTGTTTTTTCCTCTCCATCCTTTTATGTGGTTGGTTTCGTGTAAAAGTCTAGCGGCCCTTAATTCTCCATTCTTCTTTCTGAGTGAAGGGTTAGGCTGACTAGTACAGGTCTGGGCTGTGGGTTTCTTCCTAACAGGCCCTCTCCCAGGCTCGCCCTTGCCTGGGGCTGACGGTGAGGACGCTCAGAGGCGGCAAACAGAGAAGGCCAGCAGGCCAGGCGCTCTGCGTACTTCTCTTCTGGGAAAAGATTCCTTTCTGATGGCTCTCTCCTTCCATTGTGGACGTCCAATCTCAAGTTCTGCTCTGTTTCTCTCTGCTGGCCCAATGCCCAAGCAGGGAACCTCCCCTTAGCTTAGGTAGAGAATGGGCCCAGAGCCTTTTCCCCGGAGCAAACACTGTCCCCAGCAGCTCTGCGAGCTCCGGGGAGGGCTAAAAGCCTGGCAGGCGGTCCTGTAATTATTATCCTGACCTGCCCTACAGCAGCCCTGCTCTTTAATGTGCTGACACAGAGCCAGCAGTTGGAAGGAAAGCTTTCACCTCTACAGCAGTCCTCTCCAGCGTCTGTTTTAGGGCATGGGTTTTCTCTGATTCTGCTCCATCAATCTGACCCAGTGTGCTATTTATATTTTACACCAGTTCCTCAAAATTTCTGGTCCTCAGATGATCCTCGTCCTTGGTTTGCAGGGCTGTTACTGATATTTTATCTTATTCTATTTTTTGCAGGAGTGGGAATCATTTCAGCAGGATTTTAGGAGGAGGTCTAGAACAAATATTAACGAAAAAGTCTTAGTGGGATTCTTTCATCTCAAGGTCCACCTGTAGTTCCTTATCACCCAAAGGAGCAGGTCCTTCTCCACAGCAGATACACATGCTTTCCTCATTTGGCCGGTACTTCTGTCCACAACTTCACCGCCCACCGCCCTTCTGGGGGCACCTGGCCCTCCAGAAACACCCACCTGTGGAATTTTGCTCAGAGGCACAAACAAACATGCTGTCTCCTCCCTTTATGCCTTCGTGCAGAGTTCCTCTGCCTAGAAAACCTTTCCTTCCTCTCTTTGAGCTGCAAAACTTACTCAGCCCTGTTCAATCCTTTTGGAAACAAGGATATGGGATGAAAAGGAGAAGATGTAAATATATACGAAATTCCTTCCCTGCCTCCAGAACCCTGTGCAGACGCTGTTCCCGGCCACCGCCCACTCCCCGGCTGAGCGGAGCCGTGGGTGACGGCAGGGCGGGGGTCCTTGTTCCCGGACCAGTGCTCCTTCTTACACCGGCAGAGTTATTCCAAAATATGGATGCCCGGGTCCCGCCCCCAGGAACAGTGATTCAGGTGGGCCCACATGGAACCCAGAACCTTTGCTTTCGGAAGGGATCCTGGCAATTCTGTCGGGCAGTCAGCTATGGGACCCACTTGGCCGTGTCACACCGGCCCCACTCTGCAGCCCGCCACCCTTCCATCCAGGACAGGATCTTATCACTTTGTCGGGAATCCCGGAGGGTCACTCAGAGGAGGCCGAAGGCCCCACTGCCCTCCCTGAAAGCAGGTGAGCCAGCCGCGGCCAGACTCCACTTAGGAGTGTTTGCCAGGGGCCGAGGGCCCGCGCCGATGTGGGGAGGGGGGAGGCCACCTGGCAGAAAGAAGACGGGTTCCCAGGGTGCGAGGCCAACGGAGCACGCTGCCCAGACCCAGCTCGGGGAGACGAGAGTTACCAGGGTCTGATTGGAGAAGGGGTCCGTGTAGTTGATCGTCTGGGTGGTGCAGTTCATGTCTCCTGGCTGGCCGGGGCTCTTCAGAGGTGGAATGACCTCGTAATGGTGCTTACAGCTGAGCAGCTGGGCCTGACCAGGGTACAGGGCAATGCCTGGGGGACAAGCAGGGAAAAGTGAACGGTCACAGTCCCTCACCACACCCCTAAAATCATGTCACATATATTTTTTCACACCCGCCAACCACCTAAGTTCAGGACTCCCTGGGTGACTGCAGACGAGGGAGAAGAAAAGTGTCACAGAGGATGGGGAGCTACACACCCTGCCCTCAGAGAGCCCTGCTCTAATGGAGGAGACAACTGCCCCCTCGGTAAGCCCCTCCTGGCCGGGGATACAGCCTCCCCAGTGCCTGCACCAAAACCCGCCCCGCTTCAGAACCCTGCTCCACACCCTCCAAGGAGGCCTCCGAGACCAAGCCGGGCACTGCCAGGCCCCCCGCACCGCCGCCCACCTGCAGACTCACTGGGCAGCCCTCGGCTGTGGGACTCCCCAGGTCTCATTCCGTCTCGCATCTCCTGCCCAGACTGGGAGCTCCAAGTGTGCAAGTCGCGGCCCCAAGTCCCTCCCCCTCGCGCAGCCAAGGCACCTCGTTCAAAGCTCTAAGGACAGCAGCTGTTCTAACCTCAATAGTAGAAACACTGAGAGCAGCACGTGGCCCCAGACACAGGCAGAGTCAGACCAAGAGACCGGACAGAGAGAGTAAAACCCACACATAAAGAGACAAAAGCAGACAGAGAAGAGGAACAATCATGAAACAGGCAAAGACAGGCAAGCGCACTGGGACCAGCACACCTGTCAAGAAGCCCCAGGCAGAGGGGACCTGAGACTCCGGCTCTGCCCTGTGAACAGGCCATCCGAGGGTCACTCGGGGGCATCCTGTGGGCAGAGCCTGAGCTCACAGAGCTCACACCTCCCGGTCCACTCCACGCTGCCAGAGCCCAGTGCCAGCCCCACCGCCCCGGAGCAGACAGCCCGCTCTACGGCAGAGACAGCCCCTCGCAGGGACAGGAGAGGTACAGATGATGTGGCCTGGGAGCCCCTCTCCAGGCAGGGCCCCGCCCACCTCTGGATGGCCTCGCCTCCCTGCCACCTGTAACTCCCACTTCTCCGCATCACTGGCCTCTGGCTCCAGCCAGGCTAGACTCATCCTCTCCAGAGAAGCCCTCTGCCTCCCTACGCTCACCTTTGCTCCTGTAGACCCCCCTCCCAGAGAAACTGTCTTCCATTTACCAAAGCCCAGCTCATATCCTGCCACTGAGCATAAGCATTCCTTGCCCACCCCAGTCCTGCAGCGACCACTCCAGGCTCGGCCCACCTCCCTCCTTTGCACGTGACACTCTGCTGGGTACCAACAGCAGCTCTTGGGGTGCATAACCCACACCTAGACTGTGCTCGGACTCCTCTGCCCTGCCCGTGGTGCCCAGCAGGACGCCAGGAGTGCAACGGCAGCTCAGGGAGTATTTGCAAGTCGATGCCCCAGGCCTGGGCCTGATGTCTGCCTGGCGCAGGCTCTACCTGGGGCGTCGTAGCGATCCACCTCCTTGTAAGACACCGACATGACAGGGTGCTTGAGTTTCTCACGGAAGTCCGTGATGGTCTGGTAGACCAGGAAGACGGCCACGGCCATGAGCAGCAGGTAGATGAAGATGAGCAGCACGGAGAAGACGTTCTTCAGGCAGGCCTTGCTAAAGCGGATGCTGCTGCAGGCGGACTCGCTGTCCAGGGCTGAAGGACAATGACACACACGTGAGCCAGAGGAGGTGGGCAACCTCCAGGCCCACGACCTGCTTTACCAACCTCCCCACCTCAGCCCTCACATCCGAATCACAACACGCGGCCCCTGTCGACATTCACCACACACCTGCTCTGCCAGGAGGGGGACCCTGAGCTGAAGGAGGCGCCCCTCTAGAGGGACAGACAGTTACAACCCAGCAAGGGAGCCGGCCCCAGCCTACCTCTCTGGCCCCATCCCCTGACCACTCCACTCCCCCAGGACCAGCTGTACTAAACAACTGTTCCCAGTGTGCCCTCCTCAGCCCTGGAGCCCCTCACACCCCAAGCCTGGCCTGAGGCACTGCTCCTGCGGACTCCTAACTCATCCTCCAGGGTTCAGTTTAGAAAGGCATCTCCTCAAGGAAGCCTCCCCTGACCCCATAACTTGATTTGAGCACCCCTTCCTCAGCGCTCCCAGGGCACCCTATGTCCACTGTCATCACTCTGCAATGCTACTGTCTACATGTCTTTTTATCCCCCTAGGCTGTGAGCTCCACGAGGGCAGAGACAGGGCCAGTCTTGTCCATACTGAACCCCTAGCCCTTCACGCTGTGCCTGGAATAGGGCAGGCATTCTGCAATTAGATGGTAAATGACTGAACGTGTCCCGATGCCAGCCCCTTCCCAAAAGTCCTATGTTGAAGCCCTAACCCCCAGTGTGACAATATCTGGAGACAGGGCAGTTAAGGAGATAATTGGGTTAAACAAGGTCATAAGGATGGGCCCTAATCCAATAGGACTAGTATCCTTATAAGAAGAGTGAGAGCCCAATGGCATTTTTCACAGAACTAGAACAAAAAATTCTTTGATTTATGCAGAAACACGAAACACCCTGAAAGCCACAACAATCTTGAGAAAGAAGAATGGAGCTAGAGGGATCATGCTCCCTGACTTCAGACTACACTGCAAAGCTACAGTCATCAAAACAGTATGGTAGGGGCACAAAAACAGAAATACAGATCAATGGAACAGGATAGAAAGCCCAGAAATAAACCCACACACTCATGGTCACCTAATCTATGACGAAGGTGGTAAGAATACACAATGGAGAAAAGACAGTCTCTTCAATAAGTGATGCTGTGAAAACTGGACAGCTACATGTAAAAGAATGAAATTAGAATATTCTCTAACACCATACACAAAAATAAACTCAAAGTGGATTAAAGACCCAAATGTAAGACTGGATACTATAAAACTCCTAGAGGAAAACATAGGCAGAACACTCCTGGACATAAATTACAGCAATATTTTTTCTGAACCATCTCCTAGAGTAATGGAAATTAAAAAAAAAAAATGGGACCCAATTAAACTAAAAAGCTTTTGCACAACAAAGGAAACTATAAACAAAATGAAAAAACAACCTATGGTCTGGGAGAAAATATTTGCAAACTATGTGACTGACAAGGGATTAATTCCCAAAATATACAAACAGGCCATACAGCTTAATACCCAAAAAACAAACAACCCAATAAAAAATGGGCAGAAGACCTAAAGAGACATTTCTCCAAAGAAGACATACAGATGGCCAAAAGGCACATGAAAAGATGCTCAATATCGCTAATTATTAGAGAAATGCAAATCAAAACTCCAGTGAGGTTACCACTTCACACCAGTCAGAATGGCCATCATTAAAAAGTCTACAAATAATAAATGCTGGAGAGGGTGTAGAGAAAAGGGATCCTTCCTACCCTATTGGTAGGAAGGTAAATAGGTGCAGCCACTATGGAGAACAGTATGGAGGTTCCTTAAAAAACTAAAAATAGAATTACCATATCATCCTGCAATTCCACTCCTGGGCATATATCTGGAGAAAACTCTAATTCGAAAAGATATATGCATCCCAATGTTCACAGCAGCACTATTTACAATAGCCAAGACATGGAAGCAACCTAAGTGTCCAATCAATAGATGAATGGATAAAGAAGATGTGATGTATATATATATATATATATATATATGCACACAGTGGAATACTACTCAGCCATAAAGAAGAAATAATGCCATCTGCAGTAACATGAATGAATCTAGAGATTATCATATTAAGTGAAGTAAATCAGAGAAAGACAAATATCATGGGATATCACTTATATGTGGAATCTAAAAAAAAGATACAAATGAACTTATTTACAAAACAGAAATAGAGCCACAGACACATAAAACAAACTTAGGTTACCAAAGGGGATACTGGAGGGGGTGTGGGGTGAGATAAACTAGAAGTTTGGGATTAACATATACACACTACTATATATAAAATAGGTAAACAACAAGGACCTACTGTGTAGCACAGGGAACTATACTCAATATTTTGTAATAATGGAAAAGAATCTGAAAAAGCGTAAATAACCATATATATATAAAACTGAATCGCTCTGCTGTACACTCGAAACTAACACAACATTGTAAATTAACTATATTCCACCCCCCCCCAAAAAAAAAGAAGAGGGAGAGACACCAATGATGCATACACACAGAGAAAAAGTCACATGAGGGGGTGACAGTGGACAGAGTTCAAGGATGGCAGAGCAGTCAGAGAAAGTTAGGGGGACACCTGAAAGGGAGGGAGCCACATAGGGTAGTCAACTCCCAAATCTGTAAATGAAATATGCTCAACTTCTTGACTGGAGACACCAGGAGGGCCAGCAAAAAAGCAGCAGGTGGAAACCAAAAGATCTGAGTGGAGATTTCAGCTGCTGCTAATGCAAGGAACATAGATTAGAACTTGAGTCTCGTCATTTTAACTACCTGCTAAGACAAAACTTCTTCAGAGGATCATAAGAGAATCCAGAACCTCTATAACGTGTCATTAATAGCATCTAGTGTTCAATTAAAAAATCACCAGACATGCACAAAAACAAGGAAAAAAGCAGTATATAGAAACCAATGCCAAGATGACCCCAAATGTTGCGATTGGCAGACAGGAGTTTTACAGCACTTTAAGGATTTAAAAGAAAATGTAAGGATAAGGAATGAACAGAGGGGAAATAGAGAATCTGAAACTGCAGAAAAGAACCAATGGGAATTCTAGAGCTGAAAAGAAAAATAAATAAAATGAAAAACTCACAGCATAGTCTTTAACAGCAAAAGTTGACAAGGAAAAAAAGCCAGTGTAGTTGAAGTTAAATGAACAGACATTATCCAATCTAAAAAAAAAAAAAAAAGATTGAAGAAAAAGACTAACAGATCCTAGACAACTGTGGGACAATATCTAGCAGTCTAACAACATGTAACTGAAGGGAGAAAATGGATCACAAAAAATATTTGAAAAACTAATGGCCCAAACTTCCCAAAACTGGAGAAAAAAACATCAATTTATAGATCCAAGAAGCTCAACACATGCCAAGCAGGATAAATAAGAAAACCAATCCTACGCAAATCATAGTCAAACAGCCAATGCAAAGGTAAGAGAAAAATCTTGAAAGCAGCCAGGAAAAAAAAACGCATATTACATACAGGAAATTATATCTAATGATAGGTTAACTTTTGATCATAAGTAATGAAGGTCAAAAGACAATGGAACATCTTTAAAGTACTGAAAGAAAAAAATTCTCTCAACTGAGAATTTTAAAATTCCAGCAAAACTAACCTTCAAAAATGAAGGGGATAAGGTTATTTTCAAACACAAAAGCTGAGAGAATTCATCACCAATAGACTTGCATTACAATGCACACTAAAGAAAATTCTGAAATGACACTAGATGGTAACACTCAGATGTATAGGAAGGAATAAAGATCCCTGGAAATGTTAAATAGGTAGGTAAATATAAAAAGCTATTTACATATTTTTAAAATTTTAGGCTCTCTAAAGCAAAAATTATACAACAATACTGTAAGGTTTTCTAACTTTTGGGAAAGAAGGAACAGAGAAACAACATATAAGACAAATAGAAAACAGCAAAATGGTAGAACCAAATGCAACCATATCAATAATTACTGTAAATGTAAATGGACTAAACACTCCAATTAAAAGGCAGAGACTGTCAGCCTGGATTAAAAACTAGATCCAACCAAATGATGTCTATAAGAGATGGACTCTAAATACAAAGACAGAAGAGTATTTGCTCATAATTATTTCATTTTCTTTTATTTAAAAGCACAAAAGCAAGAGGAGCACAGAAATTTTTTTTTTTTTGGCAGTACGCGGGCCTCTCATTGCCATGACCTCTCCCGCCGCGGAGCACAGGCTCCGGACACGCAGGCCCAGTGGCCACGGCTCACGGGCCCAGCCGCTCCGCAGCACGCGGGATCCTCCCGGATCAGGGCACGAACCCACATCCCCTGCATCGGCAGGCAGACTCCCAACCACTGTGCCACCAGGGAAGCCCAAGCACAGAAATTTTATATGTCCTAGGTTGACAGAGAGAAGGAAATCATTCATTCTTTACTTCTACAAACATACATCAAGCATCAACTCTACATGCAACACTTTGTACTAGGGGCTTCAGGGAGATACCAAGAGAGAAGGATTGATGGTTTGTGCTACAAGTGCTACAGGATTCAGAAGGATGTGAAGATGTAAACTGTGAGATTTCCTTTTCTTGGAGGGCTGAATGGGGAGTGCAGGGCTAAGGGCAGAGATCAGCAAAGGCTTTGTGGAGGAGGTTGCATTAGCCCTGTCCCTAAAGCACCAGGAGGATTTCGAGGAAGAAATAATTTGGTGTTCATTATTCATTTGTTTTGCGAACTGAAAGACCAGATATCTAGGCCAGTGGTAGAGTAAGAGCTTGGTCTCCAGCCCCAGCTCTGCTACTAAATATAACTACTCTGTGACCCAGGACAGTTACTTAATGCTCCTAAGGCTAACTTTCTTCATGTGAAAAGGAAATAATCATTTCAAATGAGAGATTGTTGTAAAATGCACTACAGAGTGCCTGCTCAATGAATTACTGTTATTGGAGACCCAGAACGTACCCACTACTCCTCAAAAAATGAAGCCCTCAATGATGAAGATAACAAA